TTTTGTTTGAGATTTCTTCTTTGACCTATATGTTATTTAGAAGTGTGTTGTTGAATCTCCACATATTTTAGGATTTTATTTATTTATTTATTTTTGAATTGGAGTCTCGCTCTGTCGCCCAGACTGGAGTGCAGCGGCTGCTCCCGGTCACCGCAACCTCGACCTGCTGGGCTCCGGCGATCCTTCTGCCTCAGCCTTCCCAGTAGCCGGAATTACAGGCACGCGCTACCACGCCCGGCTAATTTTTTGATTTATTGTAGAGATGAGGTCTCGCTGCCCAGGCGGGTCTCAAACCCGCGGGCTCAGGCAATCCACTCACCTCAGCCTCCCAAAGGCGCAGGATTACAGGCTGAGTCACTGAGCCCGGCGGATTTTCTTTTTTTTAAAACAGGATTTATTGAGAGGACAGAAAAGCTCCCAAAGTGGGAGGGGACCCGAGAGGGTTGCCCTATTATAGGACTTTCCAGTTATTTTTCTGTTATCAATTTCTAGTTTCATTTCACTGTAGTCTGAGAGCAGACACTGTATGATTCCTATTCTTTTAAATTTGTTAAGGCCAGGTGTAGTGGCTCACATCTGTAATCCTAGGACTTTGAGGGGCCAGGCAGGAGGATCGCTTGAGGCCAGGAGTCCAAGACCCCATGTCTACAAAAAAAAAAAAAAAAAAAATTAGCCTGGCATGGTGACACATGCCTGTAGACCCAGCCACTTGGGAGGCTGAGGAGGAAAGATCCCCTAAGCCCAGGAGTTTGAGGCTGTGGTGAGCTGTGATCATGCCACTGCATTCCAGTCTGAGCAACAGAGTGAGACTCTGGTTTAAAAAAAATTGTTAAAGTTTATCATGAATGAAATCATAGGTAGGAAAAAAATTAGATAAAAATAAATTTGTTAAAGTATATTTTGTGAGCCGGACTTGGTGGCTCAGTCTGTAATCCCAGCACTTTGGGAGGCCAAGGCGAGTGGATTGTCTGAGCCCACAGGTTTGAGACCAGCCCGAGCAACTTGGTGAGACCTCGTATCTACAATAAATAAAAAATGAGCCAGGAATGGTAGCGTGTGCCTGTAGTTCCAGCTACTTGGAAGGCTGAGGCGGAAAGATTGCCGGAGCCCAGCAGGTCAGTCTGGGGTGGCTGTGAGTGTGCCACTGCTTTCCAGTCTGGGTGATGGAGTGAGACTCCAACTCAAATAAATAAATAAATAAAAATTTAAAAAGTGTATTTTGTGGCCAGAGCATGGTTTATCTTGGTGAATGAGCCACGTGAGCTTGAGAAGAATGTGTATTCTGCTGTCATTGCATAAAGTAGTCTATAAATTTCAATTCTATATAGTTATGATAGTGTTGTTGAGTTACTGATTTTCTGCCCTACTAGATCTACCCATTTCTGATAAGGGATGTTGAAGTCTTGAACTATAAAGTGGACTTATCTATTTTTCTTTGCAGTTCCATTCAATTTTGCCTCATATATTTTTATGCTCTGTTATGAGGCTCATACACGTTAAGAATTGCTATGTCTTGGCTCACGCCTATAATCCCAACACTTTGGGAGACTGAGGTGAGAGGATTACCTGAGCCCATGGGTTCAAGAACAGACGTGGCAGCTTGGCAAGACCTCATCTCTACAATAAATAAAAATATTAGCTGGGTGTGGTGGTGCATGCCTGTAGTCTCAGTTACTTGGAAGGCTAAAGTGGAAGGATCACCTGAGCCTAGCAGGTTGAGGCTGTGGTGGCCATGAATGTGCTGCTGTACTCCAGCCTGGGCTGACAGAGTGACACTCCAACTCAAAAAAAAAAAAAAAAATTGCTATGTCTTATTGGAACAAGGCTCCCTTAATCATTATGTATTGCCCTATTTTTATCTCTGTTAACTTTCATTGCTCTTAAGCCTGCTCTGTCTGAAATTAATATAACTACTCCTGGTCAGGTGTGGTGGCTTACACCTACAATCCCAGCACTTTGGGAGGCGGAGGCAGGAGGATTGCTTGAGCCCAGAAGTTTGAGAACAACCTGGGCAGTATAGCAAGACCATGTCTCTACAAAAAAAATTTTTTAATTTAACCAGGTGTAGTAGTGCACGCCTGTAGTCCCAGCTACTTGGGAGGCTAAGGGGAAAGGATCACCTGAACCTGGGGGGTTGAGGCTGTGGTAAGCCATGTTCATACCACTGTACTCCAGCCTGGGTGTTAGAGAGCCTGAGTCAAAAAATAAATAAATAAAATAAAAAGAAGAAAAACCATGCATCAATAACCTAACTGTACACCTGAAAATCAAGGACTTGGGAGGTCTTTGGTCGGGGTATGCTTGACATGTTTGGAAGAATGCTGGCCTGGGGAGCAGAAAGCTTTCTTCTGACTCTGAACTTGACTGGTCGCAGTGCTGGACCTTGAAGGAAGGAAACTGTGAAAGCCAAAGGATGAACGTCCCTGGCACAGTTGTGACTGAGTTGGTGTGTATCCATCCTGTGGTTTTTTTTTTGTTTTTTGTTTTGCGTTGGAGTCTCACTCGGTCGCCCAGACTGGAGTGCAGTGGCCGCTCCCGGCCACCGCAGCCTCGACCTGCTGGGCTCCGGCGATCCTTCCGCCCCAGCCTTCCAAGCAACTGGAACTGCAGACGCGCTACCACGCCCGGCTGATTTTTGGATTTATTGTAGAGATGAGGTCTCGCCAAGTGGCCCGGGCGGGTCTCGAACCCGCGGGCTCGGGCAAATCCTGTGTTCTTAATGCCGCGACAGCATTGGTCCAACCCACAAGTCCGTCAAGCGATGACGTCACAACCAGGATTGGAACCGATGAGCCTTTCTCCTGTTACAGAATTTCTGGGCCGCCTCCCCCTTCCCTTTGGCCGCTCCGTGGAGATGGCGGTCTGCGTGGCAAACAGGGCGTCTCTGACCGAAGCAAAGCCCTACACGGAAAAGCTGGGACCCCTGGGAGGGCAAGAGGGGCGTTGAGGGGCGGGTGGAGGGAGATGTGCTCCCGCGGCCCTCAGAGCCCCCCAGCACTCCTCCACAGGCCCGGAGCTGGCCCGCCGCTCGAGCCCTCCACCCCCTGCCCGCTGGCTCCACTCCTCTCCCCTTCTCTGCTGTCTTCCCTCTCCCTGGCAGAGAAGCGGCCCAGCCTCCCAGGCTCTGCTCTCCCCAGGCTCCAGCCACAACTGGGATGTGGGTTCCTTCTCATCTTCGCCTCCTTCCGGAGCTTAGAACAGAACTTTGAGTCTCTCTGGAGGTGAAGGATCCTGACTTTAACATCTGTTTTCATTCACTTTTTTTAAAAGTTGGGGTCTCACTCTGTCGCCCAGACTGGACTGCAGTGGCACCATCATGGCTCATCACAGCCTTGATGACCTGGGCTCAGGTGATCTTTCTGCCTCAGCCTCCCCAGAGTAGCTGGGACTGTAGGCATGCACCAACTCGGTCAGCTAAATTTTTGTTTTTGTAGAGACGAGATCTTTCTATGTTGCCCAGGCTGGTGCCGACCTCCTGGCCTCACACGATCCTCCCGTTTCGGCTGACCAAAGCCCTGGAATTACAGGTGTGAGCCTCTGTACCTGGCTTCATTCACGTCTGTCAATGTGACTTTTCTTCATGGAGAATGACATGCCAGGAAAACCCACAGGGTGAAACCTCACTGGACACAGCCAGCAGGAGGAAGCCCCCTATTGAAGGAGCTCAAAAGTACCCTCCTCCCTTGCTAGTGCAGCAACAGGAAGGGCCATTGTGCCAGAGCCACACCGGGGGTTGGGGGGTAGAAGGGGTGCCCCATGGCGGCTCAAAGTGTGTCACTTGTTCTAAACCACATGGCGACTTCCTCAACTGTCATCTATAACAGAAAATGGTAAGGCAGTAATTAAAGGGGCAGAAGGTGGGAAAATGAACCCAGTGTCTGGAGAGGTGAGACCCGCCACTAAAGTCTTCATCCCATTTCACAGAATTAATATGAAGTCCCGACGCCACAAGCAGGTTTCTTTCTCATGGGTGGCGACACCCTTTCCCCAAAGCTCTTCTTCCAAATGTGGCTGGAGAACAGAGGCCTGCGACTGACTGGAGACACGCCAGCTGAAGGAGCCCTCAGTGCGTATCCCCGAAGCCCATTCATGCTGAAGATCGGGAGATCCCATTTCTAGGGACAGGTTTGCAATAGCAAGGACATTTTGAAAACGACTCTTGTCACTCACTGGATCTGAAGTCTTGGGGTGGGAATACCTTTCTCCCAAGCTGTTTCCTCAGGGGTAAACAGAGAGGGAGCGGCACTACTGGATGTGCTGAGAAGGGTGAGAGGGAGCCCGTGGGACACACAGGCAGCTTCCAGAAGCAGAGCACTTGGCACTTCCACACCCACAGAGCTCCCAGACCTGCTCTGGGCAAGCCCCCGGCCACGCTGCTCTCTGTGGAGCACTGAGAAGCCCCGACATGGCAAATGGTAAGTGCTAAATCAACTGCTGTTTTATTCCAGATCTAATCTAGCGAGGCGGAAAGCAAAGGTTTAAGGCAGAAATCAGTTTTCGTGTGAGTCTGTTCTTCCTCCATGAATGGAGCCCAGTTCCCCCCCCCCCCCACTGGTGTGACCCCAGGCTATAGCGCTCCAGGGGACCGATTCCGGTGGACTCTGGTTCTAAACTCTCAACTCTCAGACCAAGGATACTTAAGACTTTGACAGCAACAGTCATGTCACTTGCCCCTTGGGATGCCCCTGGCATCTCACTCCTCTAGAACATGTTTCAAGAAGGGCATGCTGTGGAAAAGGGAGCAAAGCCACACCAAGATCAGATGGTAGTCTAAGCCCCCTTATGCCCCTCCTGCCTGCAGCCTCTTATCCTGAGGTTCAGACTCTTCTCCTGCCTCAAATGATTAGGAACTTCCAGGGTCTTGGACAATATTACATACAGAGAATATTACATAATACAGAGAATATTACATCCCTAACAGGCTTACCATATTCCCCAGAAAAGTTGCAGAAGAATAAACTTAATAAACTGATAAACACGTCGATATCCACAGCATGTATATTCAGCTTTCATTTTATTTCAGTTAAAAAACAATTGCCAAAACACAGAATTTAAAAAAACACACACGAACACAGGTTTTATTCCTTCTTTAGTTGCAGAAAATAAATACAATCACATATTCCATATGCTTGTCTATAAAAGCATTTCTAAAAATGTCATTTACTAGATTCAACAGTATAATCTGGCTTTTTAATTGCAGGTTATCATACAGTGGATCATGTTATTTTATTAACTTGTTTAAACACTTGGCTTAAGCAACTCTGGGAAAAGGCGGTTTGTGAGCTTAGAAATTGTATTCCAAGTGTTATTCTTTTAAACAGTTAGATGAAAAAAATCAGATTTTAACTTATTGTATTGAAGAGGAGAATAAAGTTTTTCTTCTATAAAAATTGCCCCCAAACCCACAAACGCCCAAACTGACATAAAAAGTTGGTCTATCTTCATAGGAATCAACAGGAAGGAAGGGCATGGGAAGAGGAAGGAACACACACAATAGCCCCTGTGAAATACATCCCACCAAGCACGACCCCTCACAGCATTCATCCTTATGCTTCCAGTTTGGCCCTTGGGAATTTTGAAAAAGGAAAACTTCTCAGTCATCTAACCCTATGTTTCTGAAAAGGTAGGACATGGACTCCCCATTGTGAATCCGGCGGATTGCTTCTGAAAGGATCATGCTGATGTCCACAGTTTTAATCTTGGGGCACTGGAGTTTCTGGACTTCGTGTGGAATTGTATTGGTGACCACGACCTGTGAATCGAGAAAATCCAAGAGCATGAGAAAGTCAAGTAGCCTCATCGTTTGACCTAAAAACATGACACATTTTCAAATCTCTGAGGTTCTCTATGACAGGAAGACAAGTCTAACTTCAACAATGTTCCCAGGCACTGTGACACTACCTGTGTTTCTTAGGTTAAGACTTGAGAACCTCACACCCACTAGGACAGGTATGGCCAAAAAGACAGATAGTTGATGAGGATGTGGAGAAACTGGAATCCCAACTCACTGCTGGTAGAAATGTAAAAATGGTTCAGCTGCTTTGGAAAACAGTCTGGCAGGTCCTTGAAAGTTTAAATATAAAGTTACTATATAACCCAGCAATTCTAATCCAAGGTATGCACCCAAGATAATTGAAAACATGTCCACACAAAAACTTGTACTCAAATGTTCATAGCAGGCCAGGTGTAGTGGCTCACACCTGTGACACCAGCACTTTGGAAGGCTGAGGTGAGAGAATTACTTGTGCCCAGGAGTTAAGGCTGCAGTGAGCTATGACTGTGCCACTGAGTGGCACTCCAGCCTGGGTGACAAAATAAGACTCTGTCTCTAAAAAAATTTAAATAAGTAAATGTTCACAACAGTATTATTCATAATAATTAAAAAGTGGAAAAAAAATTTCAATCAAAGTAGAAAGAGAACTGGGCATGGTAAATCATGCCCGTAATCCCAGCACTTTGGGAGGCAAAGGCAAGAAAACTTCCCGAGCCCAGAGTTTAGGACCAGCCTGGGCAACGTGGCAAGACCTTATCTCTATAAAATCAAAAAAATTAACTGGGCATGCTTGTGGTTTTATCTATTTGGAAGGCTGAGGTGGAAGGATCGCCTGAGCCCAGCAGGTCAAGACTATGGTAGCCATGATTGTGCTAATGTTCTCCAGCCAGGATAACAGAGTGAGACTCTTGACTCAAAAAAAAATAAATAAACAGGCCGGGCTCAGTGGCTCAGCCTGTAATCCCAACACTTTGGGAGACTGAGGTGAGTGGATTGCCTGAGCCTGCGAGGCCTGGACAATTTGGCAAGACTTTGTCTCTACAATAAATTAAAAAACTAGCTGGGCGTGGTAGTGTGTGCCTGTAGTTCTGGCTACTTGGAAGGCTGAGGCGGAGGGATCGCCTGAGCCCAGCAGGTTAACGCTGGGGTGGCTGTAAGCATGCGTGCCACTGCACTCTAGCCTGGGCAACAGAGTAAGACTTCAACTCAAAAATAAAAAACAAAAAACAAAACAAAAGGATACAGACAAAATGAGGTATAGTCATACAATGGAAAATTACTCCATTATAGTAGGAACAAAGTACTGATCCGTGTCACAGAGTGGATGAACCTTGAAAATATTATGCTGAGTGAAAGAAGCCAGACACAAAAAACCACGCATTGTATGACCTCATCTATGTGAAATGTCCAGAATAGGCAAATCTAAAGAGACAAAAAGCAGATTAGTGGTTGCCAGGCACTGAGGGAACTGAGAGGAAATGTGGAGTGACTGCTAATGGGTACAGGGTTTCCTTGTGGGGAGAGAGAATGTTCTAAAATCACTGTGATAAAGACTGTGTGGCTTCAAACATTCTAAGAGCCACTGAACCATTTTAAATGGGTGAATTGTATGGTATGTGAATTACATCTCAATAAAGCTGTATCTTTAAAAAAGTGGTAGAGTTCACGGCTTATATTCATTTAAACACAAATACAACCCATGTTTTGAATCCTTTGACTACCAAACAGCTCATTCCTGCACCTCCTCTCTGTAACTAAGGGTTGGGATATGCCAAAGTGTCTGGGCAGCTGTGCCCAGACACAGCCAGACCCTGTTACCTCGTCAATGGCAGACTCCTCAATCAGCCGGGGGGCGTCGGAAGATAACAAGCCATGAGTTGCCATCACGAAGATTTTATATGCACCCCTTTCCTTCAGGGTCTCTGCTGCAGCAAGAAAGCTGTCAACGTCATCAATGATGTCATCCTGCCAAATCACAGACAGAACAAAGGTATATGAGCACTTGCAAGAACAGGTAAAATCGTGCAGCCACTTTGGAAAATAATCCGACAGTTTCTACAAGACCCCTACTTGCGACTACCATGTAAACCAACAACTGCATTTATCTCAGATAACTGCGATTACCTCAGAGAAAATAAAACTCTGTTCACACAAAACTCATCCATGAATGTGCATAGCAATTTTGGGTTTAATAGTTAAAAACCAGAAATAATCCAAATGTCCTTCAACAAACTGTAGTACCTGTATCCATGGAATACTGCTCAGCAATAAATAAAATATTAATATACAAAACAGGATGGATCTCAGGGGAATTCTGGTAAGTGAAAAAGTTCATCTCAAAGGCTAAACATTGTATAATCCATTTATATGACACTCTTGAAATAATCATCATAGAGACAGAGGACAGATGAGCGGTTGCCAGGTGCTGCGGTCTGAACGCTTCTGTCCTTCCAGAACTCAGGTGTTGGAAACTCACTCCCCAGGGCAACAGTGCTGAGAGGTGGGGTCTGGGGAGGTATTTAGGTCCCTTGGCTCCTCCCCATGATGGACTTGTGCTGCTATAACAAAGGCTTCCCTCCCTCCCGCTCAGAGGCCACATGAGGGTACAGAGTTTGTCCTTTTTTGTTCCTGCACTCTCTGCCATGTGAGGACTTGGGGAGAAGGCCCTCACCAGACCAAATGCTGGCACCATAATCTTGGACTTCCAGCTTCCAGAACAGTGAGATAATGAATTTCTCTTCTTTAAAAATACCCCAGCCGGGCTCGGTGGCTCAGCCTGTAATCCCGCGTCTTTGGGAGGCTGAGGTGAGTGAATTGCCTGAGCCCGCGGGTTCGAGACCCGCCTGGGCAGCGAGACCTCATCTCTACAATAAATAAAAAAAAAAAAAAAATACCCCAGTCTCAGATATCCTGTTAACAGCAGCACAAAACGAATGAATCATCAGAGTTGGGGGTTGGGCGGAAGGTGGTGGATGTGGCTATGAACGACAGCATGGCTCTGTGGGGAGGGGAGGGGGTACTTCTGTGTCTTGACTGTCTTGACACACACACACACACACACACACACACAGAAAACGACAGCATGGCTCTGTGGGGAGGGGGTACTTCTGTGTCTTGACACACACACATACAAACAGTGCACATACAATGGGGGCTCTCTGGAGGAGCTCTGTGGGCTGTGACACTGAGAATTTCCAGGTTATGTTACTGTTCTACAGTTAGGCAAAATGGAGGATACTGGGTAAAGAGGATGCAGGATGTCCCTGTACATTTTTTCCTACTTCTTGTGGATCTATAATTACTTCAAAATCAAAACTTTTGAAAAAAATGCAGTTGTAATAGAAAGGGGGGAAGAAGTGCTTTTGAATCCACAGCATCTTGTTACTGTAGTCTATGCCCATTAAGGAATAAATTAGCAGACAGCTATTACCTGTAGGGTGATGTGGGAGATTTTCTAACCTGAAAAAGGTGCATACACAATTACCAAGCACTGCAGATAATGTGGGGCACTCACCATGAGGATTGGGAAATGGGTGCAACTGCTTTGGAAACAATTTGGCATACCCTGTAAAGCTGAAAATGGGCATACCTTCAACTCCACTCCCAGGCATGTATGCACTGGAGAATAAGTCCCAAGGATGTTCAAAGTAGTATTGTGTGAAAATTTAAAAACTATATGTTCAATGTCTGGAGAACAGATAAATCAGCTGTGTAATAATTATACCATGGAACACCATATAGCAGTGAAAAAGAATAATGCACAACTGCCTGCCATTACACGGGAAATTTCAACAATGGTGCTAAACAAAAAAGTCACGAAGTACACAAAGACATCATTTATAGAAACCTCAAAAATAAGCCAACCAATACAAGACAGCATTTAAGAACATATGTACTCGAGGCAGACTGTAAAGACAAGGAAGAAAATGGGCAGCTTTCAGGGTAGCAACAACTTTTGAGGGGAAGAGAGAAGACAGACCAGGGTGAGCCCAGCAGAGGCTTCCAGGGTACCCAGTGATGCGCCATGCCTTACATGCGCTAGCAGGTAGCCAGCTATTCATTCTATTCTTCTTTAAACTACAGGCATTAAGTGTACTCTTTTTGTGCACTGGTTTTATGACGTGTGGAAGGACTTGTGTTTTAAACAGTTATTAATATAATCAACTTTGTACCCTACTTTAATCACAAAAAAATTTCCCACGTTATGACAAACAGATGCACAATATTTAGTTAACGAAGTAGTTAGCAAATTTTAAATAAACTAATGGTAACATTTTAAAATTTCTGGGTCAAAGTAAACATTTAGCACAAGGCACCAACTTGAAGGAAACTTACCTGGTCATGCCACTATCCCTAGGCCTTTTATATGCCCACAATTAATAAATAAGTCAACAGAATAACAATGACAAATATGAAAATGAATAATAAAAGAGACCCACATACCACGATGATGGCAATCCTTCCTCCAACATCGCCAACCACGGTGATTGGAGGCTTTTCTTTAGGAATTAGCACTGGTCAGAAAAAAATACATGAAAGATTTCATGTTAAAAAGTAAAGCTTTAAGAAGGCAATGTCTCATGATAAAAAGGCCCAACAAACTAGGGATAGAAAGGAACTTGCTCAATCTGATAAGGGTAACTATGAAAACCCACAGCTAACATGATACGTGTTAGTAAGGGTAGTTAGGTAAGAAAAAGAAATAAAAGGCATCCAGACCAGAGAGGATAGGTAAAACTATCTCTACTAGCAGATGACATGATCCTGAAAATACCAAAGAATCCACAAAAAAAACTACCAAAGCTAATATACAAATTCAGCAAAGTTGCAGAATACAAGACCAACACAAAAATCAGTTGCATTTCAGCAATGCACAATCCAAAGAGGAAATTAAGAAAGCAATTCCATTTATAAGAGGATCAAAAACAAAAAACTCTAAGAGTAAATGTAATTAAGGAGGTGAAAAACTTGTGAAAACTACAAAACGTTGCTAGAAAAATTAAAATACGATTCTTACATAAGCAATAAAGTTGATTTCATCAAAATTAAAACTTTTTGTGTGATGAAGGACATGATCAAGAAAGTGAAAAGATAACCTACAAAAAATATTTGTATATCATGTAGTTGATAAGCGTCTAGTATCCAAAATATATACAGAACTCTTATAACGCAACAAAAACCCAAACAACCCAATTTTTAAATGGACAAAGAATCTGAATAGACATTTCTCCAGGGAGAAATACAAACAGCCAACAAACACATGAAAAGATATTCAACATCATTAGTCATTAGGGAAATACAAGTCAAAATCACAGTAGGATGCCATTGTATACCCTCTAGGATGGCTACAATAAAAAAATATTGGCCAGGCATGGTGGCTCAATCTGTAATCCCAGCACTTTGGGAGGCCAAGGTAAGAGGATTGCCTGAGCCCGGAGGTTCGAGACCAGCCCGGGCAACTTGGTGAGACCTCATCTCTATAATAAATCACAAAAATTAGCTGGGCATGGTGGCACACATTTGTAGTTCCAGCTACTTGGAAGTCTGAGGTGGAAGGATCACCTAAAGCCCAGCAGGTCGAGGCTGTGGTGGCCGTGAGCATGCCATAGCATTCCAGCCTGGGTGACAGAGTGAGACTCCAACTCAAACAAACAAACAAACAAACAAATAAAAAAAACAGAAAAGCAGTGTTGGTGAAGATGTAGAGAAATTGAAACCCTTGTCCATCGCTGGTGGGAATGTAAAATGGTGCAGCTGCCGTGGAAAACATCATGGAAAGTCCTCAAAAATTTAAACATAGAATTTCCGTATGACTCAGCAATTCCCATTCTAGGTATATACCAAGAGAAATGAAATCATAGTCCACACAGAGACTCATACATGAATGCACAAGCAGCACGACGGCCCAAAAGTGGAAACAATTCAAATTCCCATCAACGAATGAATAAAGTGTGATAAATCCATATAATGGAGTATTATTTGTCTGCCAAAAGGAATGAGTGCTGACATGCTACAACATGGATAAACCTCAAAGACATGCTAAGTGAAAGAAGCCAGACACAAAAGCCCACATATGTATGATTCCAACTACATAAAATGTCCAGAATAGGCAAATTCATAAAGACAGAAGACAGATTAGTGGTTGCCAGGGACTGGGGAAAGGAAACTTGTGGGGGTGACTACTTGATGGATGGATACAAGATATTCTGGGATGATGGAAAGTTTTAAAACTAGAAAGAAATGGTAGTTATACAACATTGTGAATGTGCTAAATGCCAGTGAATTTTACACTTTAAAACTGTTAATTCTAAACTATATTTCTCTTCAATTTTTTTTAAGGTCAGTATCACTAAGGAAAAAAAGTAAAAGGACTGTTCTAGATCAGGGCTTCTCAACCACTGACATGTTAGGTCAGATAATTTTTTGTTGTGAGGGGCTGTCCTGTGTGCTGTTAGAAGTTTAGCTGCATCCTTAGTCTCTACTCACTAGATGCCAGTAGCAACCTCCTTACAGGGTGACAATCAAAATATCTCCAGACATTTCCAAATGTCCTCTAGGACAAGGGTACTGGTCCATGGCCTATAAGGAACCGGGTTGCCCAGCAGGAGGCAAGCGGCGGGTGAGTGAGAGAAGAATCATCTGTATTTATAGCCATTCCCCATCATTCACATTACTGCCTGAGCTCTACCTCATGTCAGATCAACAGTGGCATTAAATTCTCATTGGAGTGCGAAGTATTGTGAACCGCACATGAGAGGGATCTAGGTTGCGTACTCCTTATAAGAATCTAATGCCTAGCCGGGCTCGGTGGCTCAGCCTGTAATCCCGCGCCTTTGGGAGGCTGAGGTGAGTGGATTGCCTGTGCCCGTGGGTTCGAGACCCACCTAGGCAGCGAGACCTCATCTCTACAATAAATAAAAAAAAAAATTAGCTGGGCGTGGTAGCGCGCGCCTGTAATTTTGGGTACTCGGAAAGCTGAGGAGGAAGGATCGCCGGAGCCCAGCAGGTCGAGGCTGCGGTGGCCGGGAGTGGCCACTGCACTCCAGTCTGGGCGACAGAGTGAGACTCCAACTCAAAAAATAAAAATAAAAATTTAGCCGGGTGTGGTAGCGCATGCCTGTAATTCCAGCTACTTGGAAGGCTGAGGCGGAAGGATCGCTGGAGCCCAGCAGGTTGAGGCTGTGGTGGCCAGAAGCGGCCACTGCACTCCAGTCTGGGCGACAGAGTGAGACTCCGACTCAAAAAAAAAAAAAAAAAAAGAGAATCTAATGCCTGATGATCTGAGGTGGAGCTGAGGCAGTGATTCTAGCACTGGGGAGTGGCTGCAAATACAGATTAACATTAGCAGAGAGGTTTGACTGCACAGAGACCATAATAAATTAATTGCTTGCAGATAATCTAACGCATGTCAAAACCCTATCAGTGAGTGGCAAGTAACAAGCTGCATCTGGTGGCACATCGAGTTGATGTACTTCAATTGTACAGCTATATCTGGTGGCAGGCTTTAAGTCAGAGTCCAAAACTTATTTCAGTCTGCCTGTGGCCCATTCATTATTTTATTTACCACTTCCATCTGTGCCTCTTTCCTGCATTGCACACTTGTCTCAGTCACAGTTTTGGTAAGCCCGCAAGCTAACTCTAGTCAAAATGAGTAAAAAACAAACATTACTGGAGAGCTTCTTTGAAAAGGGGGAAAGACCCGATGAGAGAGCAGAAGACTCTAAGGCTGCCAACAAAAAGAAAGCTGCATTTAAAAGAAAATACCAAGAGTCCTACTTAAATTATGGGTTCATTGCAACAGGTGATTCATGTTCTCCAAGCTCACTTTGTATAATATGTGGCAACTGGCTAGCCAACGAAGCCATGAAACCTTCAAAACTGCTTCACCACATGGAGACCAAGCACTCTGCATTAAAAGATAAGCCTTTGGAGTTTAAAAAAAAACTGTGAACACAAATAACAGAATCAATTATTGAAGGCCATCACTTCATCAACTGTGTCTGCACTGAGAGCATCATTCTTAGTGGTTAATCACATTGCTAAAGCTAAGAAGCCCTTTGCTGTTGGTGAAGAGCTGATCCTGCCTCCTGCTAAGGACATCTGTCATGAACTTTTAGGAGAAGCTGCAGTTCAAAAGGTGGCATGTGTTCCTCTTTCAGCTAGCACCATAACTAGATGAAGTGATGAAACACTAGAGGATACTGAGGCACAACTGTTAGAGAGGATTAATGAGTCATGGTAGGCAATTCAGGTTGTCGAGTTTACCAGTACTGACAAGGCAACAAAGCTTATTTTTGTGATATAATTTCAGGAGGATGTGCATAAGAATATGTTATTAATATGTGCACCTTCGCTGCCAACCAACACCACAGATGTAGAACTATTCAAGTCTTTGGACAATTACATATCAGGAAAATGGAATTGGTCATTTTGTGTTGGTATATGCACGGAGAGAGCAGCTGCCATGTCTGGACGGCTTTCTGGTTTCACTACTTGGGTCCAAGAGGTTGCTTCTGAATGTTAGTCCATGCACTGTGTCATTCACAGGGAAATGCTGGCTAGCTGGAAAATGTCACTTGAACTTAACGTTTTGCAGGACATGATTAAAATTATCACATTAAAGTATATGCCCTTAACTCATGTCTGTTCATGCAGCTCTGTGAGGAGATGGACTCAGAGCACACAAATCTTCTCTTATACACAGAAGTGAGATGGCTTTCTAAAGGTAGATCACTGGCCAGAGTTTTTGACTATGAGACCCACTCCAGAGGTTTCTTTTAGAAAAACAGTCACCACTTCCAGCACATTTCAGTGACACAGAATGGGTCACAAAACTTGCTTACTTGTGTCATATTCAACCTGCTCAACGAACTCAATCTGTCACTTCAGGAGAGAATGACAACTGTGTTCAAGTCGGCAGATAAAGTGGCGGCATTCAAAGCCAACCTGAAATTATGGGGGCAACGAATGAACACTGGGATTTTTGACATGTTTCAAACATCCACAGAGATATTGAAAGAGACCGAGACAGGGCCTCCTTTCTCCCAGCTGGTGCATGATCATTTATCTCAGCTTTCAAAAGAGTTTAAGCATTACTTCCCAACCACAAAAGATCCCCGCACAGGGAAGGAATGAATCTGCAACCCATTTGCGAACAATTCGGGTCAATCGACTTTGTCCATGCTAGAAAAAGATCAACTGCTTGAGATCGCAAATGACAGTAACCTTCAAGGTATGTTTGAGACAACTTCAAATCTCCATATGTTCTGGATTCAAGTCAAGGTGGAATATCCTGAGATTGCCACAAAAGCACTGAAAAGCCTGCTTCCATTTCCAACATCCTATCTTTGTGAGGTAGGGTGTTCTGCAGTGACAGCAACTAAAACAAGATTACAGAGTAGACTGAACCTAAGCAACACACTTCGGTTGTCACTGTCACCCATCACCCCCAGATGGGACCATCTAGTTGTAAGAAAACAAGCTCAGGGCTCCCATTGATTCTGCATTTTGGTGA